GGAGTAAAGAGGTGGCTTTAAAAAGTTCAAATGTCCTTTTATGTTTAGATTGAAATGTCAAAGTTCTGGTTTGATAGATTATAATTTGTTGAATGGTTTGTACAATAATGAGAAATTGTGTTTGGTTATTATTGTAATTTAAGAAAAAAAATAAACAGTTCAAGTTTGTACTTAAAATAGAGAAATATTGTTTACGACTTACTTTAAGGTTTGCAGAATTGTTGCTCTTTGATTTGTTTTCACTTGTTCACAGAGAATATCCTGTAGTTGGAATAAGTGGTTCTTAACAAGCTGTGTTTATGTTAATTGCAATAATTAACGTTGAGCTTGAAAGCATATGGAAAAGATTCTTGCATCAAGTTGATTGTTCATAATAAAATATTGCTGTGTGAGTGAGTGTTCTTTCAGGCTGAAATTATGTTATTGTTAAGGAACTTTAACGTAAAGCCTGGAACTATGTGATAAGTTCAAAGGATTCCGATCGGCTCACTGTTGAAGATGAAAGATGTTTCATATTTTATTGCTAACTTTGGTCACATGTTATGCTCACAGAGGCTTGACAGATTTTGGTGGAATTATTTTTTTGGTCAGGTCAAGAACTAGGTTGATGTTTTAAGTATTAAGTGACCAATTAGAAGTTGAGATTTTCTGAAAATATATATTAAGCTGAATAAGCTCTGTGATCCACATTTTGTACAAAAATTGATATTAATAAATGTTGTGGATTCCGAGATGAAATTTGGTCTCAAATGAATGACAAATGCAAGAATTAAATATAAGAAATCAATGTATTTACACAATAATACAATGGGTAATACTGTTAGTAAATCCAGGAACGCGGTTAGTAGCAATAATAATATATATATATATACAGTCTCGAAGTAGGACTTCCTTAGAGTCTACGTGCTTGTAACTGACTTTTTACCTCACACTATTACTCTACCTCCAACTCAATCACAATCTCTGCTCACTCTCAATCTCTGACTGTCTAACTGACTCTGGGTATTTAAGGGCAGCAGTCCAAGTACACTGGTCGAGTCCACTTGTATGAAAAAGAGGAGGACCCTATAACACCCCCCTCCTTAGATCCCTTTTAGGGGGTTAGTTAGTATTTTTGTATTATTTCCTTAAATGCTTTTTTTATAGTCCTCTGTCCAATTCCAATTATGCTCCTTTTTTAGTAACTCATTTAGTGGAGCCCTCAGTTTATGCATATTATCAATAAATTCACCATAGTAGTTAGCTAGGTCCAGGAAACTTTGTAGTTCATCATTTGCTGAAAAATTGCTGGTGCAACTTTTACTCCGAATGGTAGTCTGTTGAATTTGTACAACCCTTTGTGCATATTAATGCAAAGGATTTTCATACACTCTTCTTGTACTGGGATTTGTAGATAAGCCTCACTTAGATCTATTTTTGAAAATATCTTACCGCTGTTGAGCTTTGTAAATATTTCTTCTGGGCTTGGTAGTGGGTAATGGTGGTCTTTTATCGCCTTGTTGAGTCCCGTTGAAAAATCTGAGCATACACAGATTTCTCCTGACTTCTTTTTTACATAAACCACCGGTGCTGCCCACTCGTTAAACTCTGTTTTTGATAGAATCCCAGTTTGTTCAAGTCTCTCCAATTCTTTGTCTATTTTTTTTATAGTAGCGAATGATACATTTCACTTCTTTTTAAAAATTGGTTGGACGTTTTCTTTTAATTCTATTTTGGCCTTAAATTTGTTGCATCGTCCCAACCTGCTTGAAAATACCTCAGGAAATTGATTATATAATTCTTCCTTCAATTTTATAGTATCTGATGGTTCAACCTCTAACTTTTTGCAAAAAGAGTTGATAGGTAGATTCCAAATGTTGAACTTCTGCATCCAGTCGATACCTGCTAGATTTTCAGTATCTTTCATGACGTATATCTTAAGTTTTTTGTTTTGCCGTGAAATTTAACATTCACGATTATTTCTCCCTCAAATTTTATTCGTTTGCCTTTAACCGACTTGGCAATTTTTTGTGTGTGTAACATGGTAGGTCTGTTGAGTTTTCTCCATGTCTGCAAGTTGATTATCGGGAAGTCTGAACCCGAATCCAGTTGTAATTTAACCTTTTTATTTAAAATTTCCAGTTCCACATATTTCCTTCCATTAGTGTTGTCATCGTTATTCCTCCTTGTAGCTCTTATTCTATTAGTATCTTTTCTATTTCTACATTGGGATGCCTTGTGGCCCTTTTTTCCACATTCAAGACAGTTTTTATATCTAAAGCGGTAATCCTTGTTCCAATGTAGTCCTCCACATCGATAACATGCTGATGGGGGGGACTTATATTTGTTCCGATATTCGTCATAATTTGTCCTGTATGTTGTACTTTTCCTCTTATTATAAAATTTTCTTTTTCTTTCCAGGGAGGGTGAGAATCTTTTTTCATTGTTGTAAAATTTTAGTTTTCTTTCCGGGGAGGGTGAAGAACTTAGACTTTTGTTTAACTTATGTATATGAGAAACAGCTGATTCCTCAATGTCCCTTGTGTCTTTCTTTATACTTAAACATCTCTGGCAATCTTCCAATAATTGCTGTAATGTTAGACCTGGTTCATTTTGTAATTTTGCAAGCATTCTTCTGCGCATTTCGCTATCTTTTGTAGAAACTAACCCTTGAACAAAGATGAGACATTTGAAATTGTCCGGGGTTAATTCTGCTAGTTTAAAGTTGTCACAATGTTTATTTATGATTGCGGCAAATGTGGAATAATCCTCATTATCACCCTTTACCAGGTTAAGGCATTTCCACCTCCTGTGGAAGAGTGATGTTTTCGGGCTGAAGAGTTCTTTAAGACATGTCACTGCTTCATCAAATGTTAATTCGTTCATCTTTTTTGGCAAGATATAATCCACAAACTTTGTATATTCTTCAGTTCCTGATTTTCTAAGCAATAGATGTAGCTTTTTTGCTTCTGTCCAATTTTGACAGTCTATGTTAAAGATGTCTTCATGTCTTCTGAAGTAATCTCCAAAATTTTTGTCCTCATCTAGAGAATATTTGAAAATCTATGGTATGCCACACTACATCTTGCAAAAATGTTGCTTCTTTTTCAATATCTAATTGCTTGTTGCCCGCTACTTTCAATATTAGTTCCTGGAGCTCTGTTTGTCTTTCTTGATTTTCCTTTTGCGTTTGTAATAATTGGTTTTGCCATTTTTCTTCCATTCGTTCTTGTAGCTGTAATTGTTGATCATTTTGGTATTTTATCAGTTCTACCAAAATATTTTTAAAATCTTCCATGATAACTCAATTTTATGTATTTTTACTCCTCGTAACTGTTTGTCGCTAATTTGTTGTGGATGAGAGATGGATTTATCTATTTCTTCTTGTGTGAGTTTGAATCGCTCGGCGTGAATTTGTTGTTTTTTTTTTTTCCCATGTGTGTGCCAATTTGCTTGTTGGACGACGAGGGAAGATTTTTCTTTTATTGATCTTTTCTTTTCCGCGTAAGTATCTTTTCTTTTCCGCGTGGGTTCGAATCTTCATCACCAATTTTTTGTGGATTCCGAGATGAAATTCAGTCTCAAATGAATGACAAATGCAAGAATTAAATGTAAGAAATCAATATATTTACACAATAATACAATGGGTAATACTGTTAGTAAATCTAGGAATGCAGTTAGTAGCAATAATAATATATATATATACAGTCTCGAAGTAGGACTTCCTTAGAGTCTACGTGCTTGTAACTGACTTCTACAAGCGGTTACCTCACACTATTACTCTACCTCCAACTCAATCACAATCTCTGCTCACTCTCAATCTCTGACTGTCTAACTGACTCTGGGCATTTAAGGGCAGCAGTCCAAGTACACTGGTCGAGTCCACTTGTATGAAAAAGGGGAGGACCCCATAACAATAAAAAAGGTGGTAGCAGGATGCTAAAACGTTTTAGGATATGGAAACATGGTGCATTACCAGGTTAAGTCTATTCATATCAGTAATAGGGATGGATGAACTGTTTACCAGTGCAAGCAAGAAGTCTTCAAATAATTGTTTCCAATATTGCCAGGCGTCAATATTAGACGGGTCTGCAGAGTCCAAGTTGAGGCGTTCTGGTTTAAAGTATTTGTCCATAATTACGTTCAATAAATTGTAATAAAAACTCGACTCATTACAATTTAGTTTGGCTTAATGTGCCTTTATTGAAAGTAACTGAAGAGTCTTGCCATGTTTTATTTATACAAATTATAAGCTAGGGATTGTCTTACCACAGACAACAATCTCCCTTTTATACAAGTTTCATTAAAAACAACTAACTAGGTACTGCGGTTAAGTTTTTTAAAAAATTTTTCTGAATGCTGTAATGTTACTTTCTTTATTGTTACTTCCTAAAAACTCACCCCCCCCCAAAAAAAAACGGGAGTGGAATGAAAAGTTAGTAGACTGACCATGAAGGAGTGATGCTAGAGCTGTGAATTCTAAAGTCTACTTCAACTCTACTTTGAACATCTCCACCTGAAACTCTTAACTTTTATTTACTATTTATTTACATTTTTTTCTTCAGTAGAAGTAGACATGTTTGCCTATCGTCCGGTTCACACTTCTCCCTGATCTTTTGAACAAGAGTAGAGGTCTGTCACTGGTTTTCTGTTTAAGATTGGCTTTCTGGTAGCTCATTGCATCTTGGGGGAATTATCACCTTGCTTTTTTGGTGGTGCCTCTTAATTTCTATCTTGAGTAGTTCTCGGGCCTTGTACAAGATAAACATAATTGTAAAAAAAAAAAAAAGTAATAGCGGTGTCAAGGGAATAACCGTTCTTTTGACACACGTTTTTTTTTTTCACTTACAAAGGTTATGCATTGGTAGATTTTCTTTATTCATGGGAGGTAACTCAGTGTGCATTACTATTCAAAGCTAACATTATTCCGAGCAAGCACTAGAATTTATTGGAAAGACGAGTGTAAAGTGTTTTATGACATTGTTTTTCAGCATCAAGCGATTGATTGAAGTTATTTATTTCTAAAAGAAAAGAACAATTGAAAGGAGAATGAGTTGAGAAAAGAAGTAAATTTCTAGCTAGAATAAAATTAAAATACACAATTTAATTATTATATAAATTAGTTTTACACCTGCCACCAAGAATGCTAGCATATATGAAATTGATATTTTCTTAAAGACCTTATATCTTTCTATATTTTCTTTCTATACATTTTCTTAAAGACCTTATATCTGAAAACTATCTAAGATAGGTTTCAGATATGAGAGTTTAAATATATTTTTCTGCATATTAAATTAATATGTATTAATTCTGAAGAAGTCAGTTTATTACCAAATAACAGTAGAAAACCGATCCCCCAATTTACACCCGGTATAATTTCATATTAATATTAGTTGTGAGTTGTGTAACAGTTCAGAAAGAGAACTGAACTCAAATTCTAGTTGAATTCATTGCATAATAAAACCTCACATAGTGTGCATGTATGCAATATTATTGGTCCTGATCTGGCAGACCGGCTTCAGTCACTTTCCCATGGCCTGTAAGGTTGCCTCTCTATGTCTTTTCTATAAATACTTTGATGGTAATTGTTCAAATGAGCTCTTTGCTATGGTAACTAGACTTTTTGAATTTCAGCACAGTACTAGACTGGAGTCAAGATCTCATCAATTTACAGTTAAGCTGGCGAGATGTAGCTGTAAATTCTATGCTAACAGTTTCTTTTCTCGCACATGGAACTCCCTTCCAACTCCATGCTTTCCAGTCAACTTTAATCTGTAAAAATTTAAATGCAATGTTAATCGCTACTTACTGTCATCTTGATTACACTTTTCTCTTCCAGCTCATTATTAATGTTTCTGTTCCTAATTCTTCCACACCCAGCAACCTCTTGTGTCTTAGTGGCTTTACTGCCTTGCATGGGGTGATACTGATTAAAAAAAATAAAATATATGTCTTTATGTTAACTTTTTATTTGCACTCTTTAGAGGCTGACTTTAGAAATTATAAACATTTTGAACTGAGAAGTATTTGTGTAAATTTTCAATTTTTGAAAGTAGCACATTTTGTGACATATATTAATGGTCTAATATATAAGATTCATCTTAGATTTAGCATGAAATCTGTTTGTATTATAAATGTATATGGTTGCACGAGAGAGAGAGAGAGTAAAAAATAAACACCAATGATGTGGAAAAAAAGAAGACAAGAAATGTTAAGATAAAATTCTTTGCATTGTGGATAGAGAGGATCAAGGTAGAATGTCTTTGTGGATGATGGAAGTGACCCAGAGGATGGGGAGAGTCAGTTGTCACCGGAGTTGATACTTGTGTCGGGTGGGGTGATTAGATTACTGATTGTGATGGTGACAGCCTGCCTGCTTGCCTGCCAACTAACTTCAGTGTAGTTTCCTTAAAAAAAAAGGTGTGGATATTTTTTGTCATGCTTTTGCTTTAGTTGCAATATTCATGATTGGCTTCATTTAAATTGTATTTATTGTTTTAAGGAAGATTTGGTTTGTGAGGCAGATATGAGGTTTGGAACTCCTGCAGAGAGCAATTTTTTCATTTTTTACTTTTATAGCATTAGCATCAGGTTTTGATGTGGCATGACTCACAAAGAGATCTAATTCAAAGACAAGTATAACAGTGAGATTTGTGTTAGTTGGTTGTTCAAAATATGAAGAGAGTGATTCAATCGATGGTTCGTATTGTCAGGAAGTTTTGATGCAGCTTAACAGCTGTTATTAACAGTTTAAATAGACAAACAATTTAGATTTTAAATTTAAAATCTAAATTGTTTGTCCATTTAAACTTCCTGACAATGCAAACCACAAACCAACATGGATCAAACCCCAATCAATTTTGAACCAGCAACTAACACAAATCCCAAATAAACCAACTGCTTTTGAAAGCAAGCTTGTTACTCCATAGAGATTAAAAGCCTACTCAGTTTCAGTTTACATGTTATGAAATCATTTACATGAAAGCCATAAAGTAAAGATGTCTCAATCAGGCCTTTCTGTCTATTTCTGACACCTTGAGTACATGCATACTAATTTTAGCATTTTTTCTTTGTTACAAACTAGAACATTTATTAGGAAATATATTCAGTTTAAATACATAAAAATGTCTTCAAAGGGCTGGTTTATAATGTTTTCCTGTTATTCAAGGGTTGTTACCAGGCAGACAGGGAAGTTTCCCCTAACAACACATGACCATTTCAATTTCATTCAAACCATGTTTGTACTTGTGCACATGGATATTTTAATTCATTGACAGACCTAGAAATGTTTCTACAAAATTAAAACTCAAGCATGACTTGGAATTCAGAAATCTCAGTGAAATCAACAGTAAACCACTTCACTATATTTCCAAAGTTATGGCAATTTAGAGATATTTAAAAGAAACTTTAGCAAGCCATAATCATTTTTATGGCCTGAAACAACATGACATTAAAAAAAAAAAACACAGTTATCTCCCAGGAACAATAAAGTCATATTTTGACATCATATTTTTGCCTTGAGTTTAAATTTTAATGGCTGTTAATTAACTTGTTTTCTTATAATTCTTTATTTCAAGAATAATTTGTAGAATAATATAAATTCTTCTTTCCTCATTTAAGCTTTTCTGTGTATTCTGAAAAAGTTGTTTTGTTATGTTTCACAAATTAAACCAAAACTAATCTTACATTTTACATCAATTTAGAATACTATTTCAATTTACTGAGGTATTTAAGACAGGATTTCAAGACCAAATGCTCAGGAAAACTGACTAAAGTAGGTCTTGTTTCATCAGGACAATGCTCCAGTACACAACTCTTTGGTTTCAATGACTGCTGTACGTGGCTGTGGCTTTGAACTAGTTCATCACCCTTCCTAAATTCCAAATTTGACTATCATCTGTTCCCTAATATGAAAAAACACTTGTTTGGAAACCAGTATTGCAGTGATGATGACGTCATATCTGCTGTTGATGACTTTTTTTTTTACCAAGATTAACAGTCTGCTTTACCAGGAAAGAAACAATGCAGTTATTAATAAGAAAAGTTGAAATTAATTCATGCAAGTTTTCACAGCTTCATAGTCAGCCTATAAAGTTTTCAGCCCACACTCACATTAATTTTGATCAGGGAAACCTTTTTTTTTTTTTGTCACATTGGTAGTTATCTCCCCTTAATCATCACGTCGGCAGCAAACGTCTGCGGATTTATTTTCTGATGGTGTAACATAAAAATTAATTAATTAAATTAAAATCGGTGAAATAGGAATTATTTCCTAATATTTGATTCTTCATTTAGTAATGTATATTTGTATGAGAGGATAAAAGTAAATAAATTAGCCAACTGTTATACGGTGCAAAACTTCGCACGCTAGTCTCACGAACCATAGTAATTATTACTAATCGAGTTGTCCTTACCACCTTTACCGAATACTCAAAAATTGTAGTCGTTTGTTGTACTAAACGATGCTTATTAATATCTACATTATCTTTAAGATAGAATCAATTAACTGCATTGAAATAACTGCTTATTGCATATAGTGTGAAAATAATTTTGCTTCAAAGCAATATTTTTAAAAATAATAAAATATTCTTCTTGGTATACTTCAACAGAAATATTAGACAAATATTTAAGGGAAATAACTCTTGTAAATTAATTCACGTTTTAATTTTAAAAAAAATGAAATGCTTTTTCAGCTTTGACTTAAATTCTAAACAATATAAAACAACAAAAAAGAATTAAAAAAAGTATTTTAGAATGTCCTGTTTTGAATGAAAACGTTTTATCTCTAATGGTGACAAGGCTAGTGCGTACAACCTTCGACCCCTGCCCAAACGAGGAGGAGACAGTGTTTTTTATCTTATCAATATCAAGATCAACATATGCTTTTTTCTAGCTACATACATTACAAATTAAATTAAGCACAACTGGATTAAAGGATGAAAATATTTTTTGTAAATTTTAACGTCATTCTCTTCGTCTGAATTCATGAATTTGTTTTTTCACTCATACTTAAGCCCCAAAAACAACACAATAAAATTCATTATTTTTTATCCATAATGTTGATATGTGTTAAATTATTCAACGTTTATGTAATTGACGAACAAATAAACAAACATTCCAATCATTTCATTGTTTCAAATAACAATATATACATTCATAAAAACTACAAGATTTAGAAATAGTGTGTTTTCTAAAGAAGTAATGGATTTTTTATTTATTAAACTGACAAATTTTATTACTTGAACATTATTTTTAGTGGATACCCATCTTTCAGTAGACACTCCATTTACATACAGTATATTTATTTATTTTCATCTACTAAATAATATCATAAAGAAAATTATGTCTGCTTTGGCAGGATTCGAACATGTGCCCCCTCTGGGCAGGGGAAACCATCATTATAGCAGATATGTTTTAGACCTCTCAGCCACAAAGTGTGTCATCCAGCAAATATGATATGCATGTGCATGTATATATATATGTTTATTTATATATACACATTTTTAAAAGATATAATTAATGAGAGTATATATATATATATATATATATATATATATATATATGTCTAGATGGGTCTATCTATATGCATTGTATGATATTATTTTTGAATTTGGATAAGTAAGTGTTTGTATATTTGCTTATATTTGTTGCATGAAAGTCTATGGCTATATTTATGCATTTTTAAACTTTTATTTTATTTTTATATTTTTTTTCTTTATTATTCTTTATCATTTATTTATTTATTGCCTTTTCTAGGCTTCATCAGATCCAAAAACGAAAAGAAATGTGGGTGCATATGTGTGTGTGTATATGTGTGCATACTTAAATAATGACTCATTAGTACTAAGTACTAATGATTCATTATTTAAGGTTAACATATGGAATCATAGAAAGGTGAAACACAATCAAATCTAGTTTCAATGAAATGTTTTTGCATTTGTCAAATTTCTTATATATATATATATATATATATATATATATATATATATATATATATATATATATGGTTAGGTAAATGAGATAATCATTTTTTTCTGTCACATGGGAAAAGAGAAGCAATCAGACTAAATCCAGTTACTAAAGAAAAAAAAAAATTTCTATTGGCGAGGTGCAAGATTTGTCATGAGAAAAAAATAGGAAACCAAAAAGTTGCTGATGTGGAGCCAGACATGGAAAATTGCTGCTGGTGCGAATTGCAAAGAAATTGCAGTTGTTGAGCTGGACAAGAGAATTTCTGATAGGAAATCCTGATGATCTAACATCTAGTGTTAATGTTTAACCCACTCCAACTTTTAGAAGCAAGACATAGAATGTCATGATAGGTGAATGGGAAGGGTTAATTTTGTTAAATCAACAATTATATAAACCTATTGAAAATTAACCCAGTGGCCTTCTTTGTTATTTTTCTGATCTTCACCAGCAAAAGCATTCTTGTTCTTTTTCATAGCACGGCTCTGCCAATTCAATTCAGTGCTTACGTGCAGGCAGAATTTCACTTTTCACTGCACTGTGATCAAAGAACACAACATAGACAGAGCAGATGGAAGAACGAAGTGGTCAACAGTTGACTGACTCTAATACTGACCAGCATGGGAGAGACCCTGTATTGTGTCAGGCCAACTGTATTATACCTTGTCCATCATTGTGGTGAAGGAACCCATAGTTGTCTCTCAAACTAGTTGATGGTAAAAGTAATAGTCGATCCTCACATATGAGCAGTGGTCAAATTACATTGATTAAAACTTCATTACAAGCTTAAATGTTCATCTGCTTTTCTTTACAATTTATTCAATACAGTTATGGACAAATTCACTTTCCCACTGCTGTAATGTAGCTTCCCTGTGTCTTTTCTATAAATACTTTCATGGTAATTGTTTAGATTAACTCTTCACTATGGTACCGAGACTTTATAAATCTAAGCATAGTACTTGATTGGAGACAAAGTTTCTTCATTTTACATCTGAAATGGCTAGATGTAACCATAAGTTCTATCACACTTCTTGCTTGTGGAACTCTCTTTTGTGCAGAATATAAACCCACAGATTTTGTATGGGGTGTTAATCAGTGCACTGATTTGGCCAGGGTATAATTTGTAGTGTGTCTAGTCTCCTAACAGATTACTTAATGTCTTCTCCATATGTCTAAGTACATTATCTTGTTAAAAAATATAAGATATTTTTCTACCATTCATCCTTGCTTTGAATATTGTTGCCACATCTGCTCAGCTGTTCCTGCTATATATTTAGAAAATTCTTCATAAAATACAAAAAAGAATCTGTAATGTCATTGGTCCTGACCTGGCATCTTGGCTTCAGTCACTTACCTGCCACTGTAACATAGCTTCCCTGTGCCTTTTCTATAAATACTTTCATGGTAACTGTTCTGATGAAATTTCCTCTATGGTACCTAAATTTTATGAATTTAAGTGCAGTACTAGATGGGCAACAATGTCTCATCATTTTACAATTGAATTGTTACATGTAGGTGTAAGTTCCATGCTAACAGTTTCTTTTCTCATACTTCCGGTTTCATGCTTTCCCAGTGGAGTAATATGTAAATTAGGTACTGTATAAAAGGCAGTATCGCTATATCCACAAGAAAATTATCTTCCCTTGACAAAACTACATCTGACAGAAAGAATATTTATCATAACACCAGCCAATTTTGATCTTTAAAAATTAAAAAAAATTTAACTCTATTTACTGTCTTGATTATTTTTCTTGCACCTTAATAATGTTTCTCTTTTTTTCTTGTTCTGCCACACACAGTAACCCTGTGTGTTTTAGTGGCTTTACTGCCTTGCTGAGGGTGATAGGATTAAAAAAGCCAAAAAAGCCTAGGTTCTATTTTGCTGGTATTTCAGCTGCTCCTTATTCTCAATTTTCAGGGTACCAGCATACATCCACACAGATCAGCCTTTATGTCAGGAGAGCTGAAGCAATTCTTAATTAGGTGGAATGTGGCTGTGAGTCAAAACACACTATATAATCTCACCATAATGATCTGTGTGAATGTCATAATGCAATTATATGGAACACTGCAAACCACAAATGCCTATCAGAATTGTTATTGTGCACTAGTGTTGGAAAATGAAATAGAAGCAATAAATAAAATAAGAAAAAAGAAAAAAAAAGGAATTCCTTTTCCCAAGATGCAAGTTATAAAGAAATCAGAAAGATTTTCTAGTGCAATTTTATGATCCCAATTCCAGAAAGGAAAGCATCTCTTTTTCCACTCTCCAACTACATCATTTGGATGTGTTTTGGCAGTCCTACTCATGATGTAAGTGGTTTGATTGTTCCAACTCAGCACAAGTCTGACTTAAACTCGACCATTTTAATCATTTTTTATTCTAATTTCTGAACTCCCTTTATTTCCCTTTGACCCTCCATTTTTTATTTTTAAACATACTTTTTATCACATAAAATTTGATGAGGTGCAAGCAAATTTTCATTTTGAATGTGTGTCCCAGTAAAAAAAAAAACACTACTTTAATGGACAATTTCTTCAAAAACAAAAAAAAAACAACATATTTTTTAATCAACACAACTTGGAAGAAATGCAAATATTTCCCTTTTTTTTAAAAATTCTAATACAAAATTCTAAAACAGACATATTCCTATGCTTGGAATAAATACTGACATCTTAACAAATCCAAATGGTTATTTACTAGTAATATACTAGTAAAATCTGATAAAATTGAAATAAAACATAATTACATTATATGAGACAAGAGTATTTCACAAGAAATAAATTTAATCATTTTTTTTAAATATTTACAACTTAAAACGTTTTTTTTTTTTAACATCTAATTTACTCTCAGTTCTTACCAGTGCCAGGAGCAAATATATTGGAATCAGATATTTTGGTGACAATATTTTGGTGCCAGACATTTTAACATCCAGTATTATAGGGAACAAAAAAGACTTTTGTAATCCAATGATATTTTGGTATTGTGTACTGGTGGCAAATTACAATCTTTCTTGAACAAAAATGGTACTTTTCCAGATTAATCCTATTTATTATTTAAATATTAAAATAAAATTATAAAACTATTTATTATTAAAATAAAATTACTGAACTGTTTATTATTAAAATATTAAAATAAAATTAAAATATTTATTATTAAAAAAGAATATAAAACTATTTGCTATTAAAATAAAATTACTAAATTATCTATTATTAGATTAAAATAAAATTAAAATAGTTTTTATTAAAGTAAATTAAATTCTTTTATGATTAGGTTATTAAAATAAAATTAAACTATTTATTATTCAAATATTAAAATAAAATTAAAATATTAAAATAAAATTATTAAACTATGTTATCAAAATATTAAAATAGAATTAAAATATTTTTAAACTAAAATTATTAAACTATTTATTATTAAAATAAAATTGAAATTTTCATTATTAAAATAAAATCATTAAACTGTTTATTAAAATATTAAAATAAAATTAAAATATGTATTATTAAAATAAAATTATAAAACTATTATTAGAATATTAAAATAAAATTAAAATAGTTTTTTATCAAAGTAAAATTAAACTATTATTGGAATATTAAAATAAAATTAAAATAGTTTTATTAAAGTAAAATTAAACTGTTATCGGAATATTAAAATAAAATTAAAATATTTAAAATAAAATTATTGAACTATTTCAATATTAAAATAAAATTAAACTATTTATTATTCGAATATTAAAATACATTAAAATGTTTATTATTCAAATAAAATTATTATTAGAATATTAAATTATTATTAGAATATTAAAAACAATCAAAGTATTTATTATTAAATATTAAAATTAAATGAAAATATTTATTAATGAAATTATTAAGAGATTTATTATTAAAAAATTAAAAAATATTGATTATTAAAATAGTAATTCAAATAAATATTTAGTTTTATATTTTGGGGTTTTAAGCCATTATAAATATTAAATTGAAATTAGAACATTAATAAAATAAATAAATAAAAATTATTAATATATTTTTATTGGGACATAGATATTTGTATTTAAATTTCCAATGTTGTTAAATTATTGTCCAAATATAAGCACCAGAGTGTTTGGCACCAGAATGTCTGGCAATAAAAGGTAGGCACCAGAATGTCTCAGATTGATATATGTACACACACTATCCAGATGTCCTCAAAATGAAGGAATCACACAATTTTTGATTCTCTTCAGAGAGTCCACCATAGACAACAACACTGCCATCACCAATGGAAGCTGCTGGAAACCATGCTCTGGCAATAGGTGAAGTGCCACCATTCATCAGAAGTTTTCTCCAGCCGGCATCAAGATTTTTGGTATCGAGGACACAGCATTCGTTAGTCAGCTGACCTCCATTTAAGTCCCTCTCACCTGATTCCAGCTTCCCGCAGAGGGTCACTATACAGCTATCGATGGAAATAATACCAAACACACTTCGCCCTTGCAAACTATTCTTGACAGGCAGTACACTCCAAGAACGAGTTGTTGTGTCAAAGCAGTAAACATCCCCCAGCTTCTGAACACAAAACCCACCCACAATGTATATTTTATCATTTATGACAGTCATACCAGCCCCCACCCGGCCTTCAATTTCTTCACAAGGTGGCATAACTTCCCATGTTTTAGTAGATAAATCAAGACTGTATAAATCATTGTACTGGGTTTTGCTATCTATTCCATATCCTCCATATACATAGAGTTGACCATTTACATTGACCATGGAATGGTGTATTCGTGGTTCTGGTGGCACACCTTCCACACTGACAACTGACCATCGCTTATCTAACGTATTGAAGCAGTAGACATCCAAAAGACCATCATCTTTAGAACCCTTTCCTGTTTGACCTCCAAACATATAAATGTTGTGATCAATAGTGGTCATTGCAAGACCACTTCTGGCAATCGGTGGATCCCCTTTTCCATCAAGGCGGGTCCATTCCCCTGTCTGTAGATTCAAACAGTGAATGACATTATCAATTGGAATGTCATTCTGGTATTCACCACCAAATGTATAGGCTTTTTGTGCAACAACAACGATTCCATGGTTTCTTCTGGGGAATGGTACACTGCCAAAAGTCTTCAAATACTGCCATTTTCCCTGCAAAAATAGGAAAATAAAAAGCTTAAAAAATAAATATATATCTGTCTATATTTCTGAGACAACAATTTACAGTATTTTGGTCGTTGTATGCTCTGGCCTTCTTCAGATGGCCCAGTGGATAAAAGTATTGGTTAAAGTAATCCAGTGACTTGACCCAAACTGTTGTGAGTTCAATACCTGGCCACTTAGAGTGTTGAAGGGAAATAAATGAAACAGATAAGGTATGGCATGTGGAACTAGAACAATCTATCCTAGTGGATGAAATGAAGGGTTTGGTTCAAAATTCCAATATATATCACCTGAAGAAGGCCAGAGCATACAACAGCTGAAATGTTGTGAATATGATAATAAAAATGAGGACAACAGTGTGAACAATGTAAATAGAGTAAATAAATAAATATAAATAAAACACAAAAACAAAAATAGAAAAATCAGTTTTCTTTTATGTGCTAAAAATTAGGTTTTTTTATGTGTTATGTCTCTTCATGATGTGAGCGATCATAGCTCTCCACAACTTCCTGCTTTTCTTACTCTAGTATTTTTGTCTCTTTGTCCTTGTTCTGCTGTCATTTGTATAAATTTATTAAGTAGGTTACTCTCTGTTTTTTGCCTGCTTCTTGTACCTTCAAAATATCCTGTGAGTGTAAGATTCTTCAGGCCTTCTGATCTCATTACAGTAATTTTCTAAGCATAGCTTAGATGTGGCACAATGCCGAATGTGTGGAGCACTCAATAAGAATTGAACTCACTATTCAGTCATAATTGATCTAGCGAGACATGCTTGTTAACCATTACATCACATCGAAGTAACTTTTTATCATTATATGTCCCAGATTTAAAATACAAGCTCTATGAAACATTTAAACATAGCTAACAAAAAATAAAATTTTTGAAGTATGAGGTATAGTTACAAGATACATAATTATCAGTTCAAAAAAAAAAATTTGGAACAAAATTCTTAGTTTCAAGACACCAACATTTCATGTTTCATTTCTTGAAAGAACATCTTCAGACTAATAAAGGTTAAATATGGTGGGCGAGGATACAAAAAATTGGTTAGAATTTTATATTGAGAAGTGCTAACAATATCAGAGATAAAGTGTATTTAAATATAAATATAAAAGTGGACAGTGAGGTCAGCACTAAGTGACAACACTGATTCATGCTTCAATGCAATCTTCAGGCTACAGTGTTTTTTTATTATATATATATATATATATATATATATATATATATATATATATAATATATATATTAGGTATGTTCTCAAATTTGCTGAAAAAAGCATACAAGCAGGCCAAAAATTTGATAAAAATAAAGTTTTATCATCAAAATGTTAATATTAAGAGGAAAAGCCAAAGTACTTTTTGATTATTTTATTAAATTTTTTAATCCTTTCTAGCACATTCAAAATTTTGGTTAAAATCTTATTTTCTTGTGTCAGCAGGGCAGTAAATATTAGTATTAGGAAATTTAGTGTTTTTTTCTGGTTAAAACACACGTTGATTTAGAAATTCTTGAAAAAAATCAAATAATTGTTGAATTTTAATGAAACTTTCTGGACTTATTCACACATGAATTAAATTATTTTAGAAATTTTTTTTTAGAAAATCCTGGTAGAAATATTTTTTATTTTTTTACATTTGTTACCCCCATCTTACTTAATTAATGAAATTTCAAGAAATTAAATTTTGTCCAGCTTCATAATTATATTAGTTAAAAGCAGGGATCCTTGGAGAATGTAAATCATTAATTTTATTTTCAAACAGTAACTCATTTACTGAAAATCTGCTCTGTATCATAAAATAAAAAATACAATCAAACTAAAACAATATTTAACTAGAAAAACTTTTAATTGTTTTTATGAATAAGATATATTATGGACACTATTATCTTAACAAATATTTTTTGGGGGAAATTTTTACAAGAATTTTTTTGTTTTTTATTTATATTTTAATTAGAATAAATTTTAAATCTTTTAAATTTCTGTACAGGTCTTTAAATCTTTTAAATTTCTGTACAGGTCTTTAAATCTTTTAAATTTCTCAACCGGTTAGATAATATTGTTATTAAGTATATTGTAGCATCCCACTACCACTTTCTTCTAATTTTGTACATTTTTGTGCAAAAAAGTGGATTAGAGAGCCTACTTGGCTTAGTAAATATTTTCAGGAGATATCAGCTTCTAATTGGTCAATAAACACACAAGTGGGCCTTGCAATCCACCCACGTACAAATATTTTTTTTCCAGCACATGACCAAGTCAAGTTTCCCACCATTTGCTGTGATCCTGTCATGTGATTACATTATCTATAAATAGCAGACACGAGTTCACTCATTCTCTTTTACTCATCCAGATTCCTTAAGGATTTTTGTCTAGATCATGGACTGTCAGACGTTAAAAGCATATTCATGCATGCACGTACATTCAAACTTTTCCAACCTACATTACAAACATACAGAACATTTCCAAACATGCAACAAGAACTTTTCTCTTTGAAATATTCTTCTAGAACTACAGTTTATTCAGCATTTCTCAGCTTTAGAATTAATTCAACTTTTGTGAGTTCAGATAAAAATATTCCCAGTCTGATAAAAGAAAATGTTTTATTGAATTTTAAATATTTTTGGCTGTAAATATACTATAGTTATCTTTTTTTTTAATAATATTGTGTATGGTTGATTATATATTAGAAAATAGGCATGTTTATACATATAAAAAAAATTCAAAATTCTTTTAAAAATATTGGTACATGATTATTTGTACTAAGCTTTTAAATTTATGATTAATAAATATAGTTATATTGTAGTGGTCTAGTTGTTTCTCTCGCCCCATTTCAGACATCGGAGTTACCATAATGTAGTGACTTGGTAATAAGAATGGACAATTGTAGATGTTTGTTTACGGCTGCATGAATAACATGACCACACAATTTATATTAAACGTAAAATGCCACATAACATGAAATACAAGAAAGGAACAAAATGGTTTTAAAAATATCACATTTGTATTTATTTGTGTGTTGACGTACATGCGTAGAAGTTAAAACCTGTTGGAGTTATGTCATAAAATAAAGTTTCAGAAAAGCATATTTTATTTTGGGAAGATTTTTTTTATAAAGAGAATTACATTGCAATGAAAGACAACTAAAAAAGGGTGCTAATCAGCTATTTCCAGTCAATTGATTTAGTTTTAAATTAGTTTTTGAAGTATAGCAAAGTATTTTGCTTATTGCAAATATTAAATTTAAACTATTTCCTTTAAATTAAAACTAAAATAAAAGCTTCAAGAAAGATGTTTCATTTTAAAAATTCATTTTTAAATTTTATATTGGATTTTCTGTGGAGGTACTTAACATATATCTATATATGATTATATATCATGATAAAAATATAATTTTAAAATATACTATGTTTATGGGTAAAAGTGCTTGATATCAGGGATAGAGCAAATGTAGCTATAAAAGTGTACATTAAGGTCAATACTGAATGACGACAATCTGTTTCATATTTGAATGCAATCTTCAGGCCATCATAAAACAGACTGTCACCAAAATGTCAAAAATACAAGAAATATGGTTTCTTAAGTCATTGTCAAGGTAAGTACCTATCCTGATAATGACTTAAGAAATTCAAAAGCTTCAGCCATATTTCTTGTACTTTTCTTCTGAAATGAACTTTGGATAATTTCTGATGGAATTTCTTTCTTGTCTGAGAAGGATTATTCAGAATTTCAAAAAGTCAATCATTAAAATTAATGAACACAAAATATCTGTCGTTTTTAACATCAACCAAGTGACAAATTTTATATTATTCTTCCCCATTGTGTTTTTTTATAGCATTTATAATTCAGATGGTAATCAGATCAGTGATGACTGCCAATTCCTTACATGCAAATACACACAATGCATAAGAAACTAGCAGTCACGACTTGTCACATGAAACCTGACTTATGAAATATAATGCTCTGCCATTTTGGTATTGAGCACTTTTATCTTTGATTTATATATATATATATATATATATATATATATATATATATATATATATAGTGTATCACAAAAGTGAGTACACCCCCATATTTCTTTCAATATTTCTTTATTGGACAACACTGACAAAAATGACACTTTGACACAATGAAAAGTAGCCTGTCTGCAGCATATATAACAGAGTTAATTTATTTTTCCCTCAAAATAACTCAAAATATAGCCATTAAAAGCTAAATCCCTGGCAACAAAAGTGAGTACACCCCTTAGGAAAAATTGTCAATATTAATATACAACATGTCAACTGTCAATATTTTGTGTGGCCACCATCATTATCCAAAACTGCCTTTACTCTCCTGGGCATGGAGTTTACCAGAGCTTCACAGGTAGTCACTGGAATGCTCTTCCACTTCTCAAAGACAACATCGCGGAGCTGGCAGATATTTGAGACTCTGTGCACCTCCACCTTCTGCTTGAGGATGGCCCAAAGATGTTCTACTGGGTTCAAGTCTGGAGACATGCTTGGCCAGTCCATCACCTTTACCCTCAGCCTCTTCAGTATAGCAGTGGTTGTCTTGGATATGTGTTTGGGGTCATTGTCATGCAGGAACACTGCTCTGCAACCCAGTTTCTAGAGGGAGGGGATCATGCTTTGCTGCAGTATTTCACAGTACATGTTGGAGTTCATGTTTCCCTCAATGAAATGTAACTCTCCAATACCTGCAGCACTCATGCAGCCCCAGACCATGCTTGACTGTAGGCATGACACACTTATCTTTGTACTCCTCACCTAGTCGCCGCCACACTTGCTTAAGGCCATCAGAACCAAACAAATTAAATTTTGTCTCATCAGACCATAGGACATGGTTCCAGTAATTTATGGGCTTTGTTGACATATCTTCAGCAAACTGTTTGTGGGCTTTCTTGTGTATTGCCTTCAGAAGAGGCTTCCTCCTGGGGTGACAGCCATGCACACCAATTTGATGCAGTGTGCGACGTATGGTCTGAACA